GCTCTCGCTCAGCTTTCCTGCATGGCTGCATGCAAGAAAAACGGTGAGGAAACAAATCTCATCAGGTTCTAAGCCTTCGAGGTCCATTTGTTTGAAGAGAATCATGGCTTTCTCTGCTCGGCCGTGCTGGGCAAATCCAGCGCTGAGAACTGTCCAGGAGATGAGGTTCTTCTCTCGGAACATCATCAAAGGCTTTCCTCGCCAGATCGAGATTTCCATTTTGCGAGAACACGGCTATCATGGTGTTGAAGGAAACCATCGTTCTTCCTGGCATTCCGTGGAAAAGTTTTTCAGCTTCATCGCTCGAGCATTTAGTATCCCTTGCACAGGCTGCTAAGAGTGAGTTCCAAGAGATGGCGTTTCTCCTGGGCATCGAATGGAAAATTTTCGTGGCTTCCTCGAGCTCGCCGTTGGAAGCGTAGCCTGTGATCATCGAGTTCCACGATGAGATTGTCTTCTCGACCATGGATTCAAACGTGGTCTCGGCTTGCTCCAGATTCCCCCGCCTGTGAAGAGCAGTCACAAGAGAATTCCAACTCACCACATTTTTCTCGGGCATGGATTGAAAGATCTCGTCCGCGTCTTTGATATCTCCATGAACGGCAAAACCACTCGCAAGGGCCGTCCAAGAGACAACATCCCATTGTGGCATTCTCTTAAAAAAAATCTTTGATTGAAGCAAATCCCCATTCCGCGCATATAGAGAAATCAATGAGTTATATGACACAATAGATTTAAAAGGCATTTGATCAAACATTGACTTCACTTCTAGGAATCTTCTTTTGTGACCCAAACCCTCTATAATAACGTTCCAAGATGCCGAGTCTCTATACAACATTCCCTCAAAAATACCCCTTGCCATATCAATATCCCCAAAGTGGGCATATGCTACAAGCATAGCGTTGGAAAACATGACGTCATAGCTTGGAACCTTGAGATAGATATACTCAGCGGATTCGAGATAACCTCGTAAAGAATAGGCGCGGAAAAGAGCCGTCCATGCGATAAGATCTCGCTGTGGCATACTGTCAAACAGGTTCTTACACAAATCAAAATACCCAGTTTGGGCATATGCAACTGCGACGGTGTTCAGAACCACAAGATCTCTTTGTGGCATTTTCTCGAGCAGAAATTTGCATTCCAGAATTGATCCGTTCTGCGCAAGCGCAGTGATCAAAAGGCTCCAGGAGAAGAGATTTCGATGTTGGATGCATTGGAAGACAAACAGCGCAGAAGTGGGATCCGCGCACTTGCCATACATTTGGATCAAGAGATTGCCCAAGTAGCGATCGTGAGGCAATTGGCGGGTGATTTGGTTGTGGAGACGCTTGCCTTCTGAAATGTCTCGGCAGGATTTTAGCAACTGAACAATAGCATTAAAGGTATTCATTCATTAGCTGTTTACAATGTCTTGTGGTGGCCACCAAGATAATAAGATGTCATGAGCCATTCCTTCGCTGAACTCCTCTAGGTCTTCTGGCACCAAGCCTTCTGTCCCCTGATCTGCCTGCCACCCCTCCTGTGGCATCTTGGGTTGGAACCTCAATGTGATCCTCATTTAGTTGTGGTGAGAAGTATTGTCACCCTTGTTTTGCGTCTGACTCAGCTGCAGTGTAATCATGAGCATGGCATCTATGACTAAGGATTGGCACTTGATCTCGAAATCTGGTAGAAATTCTTTGGCTCAATGTTCACCTGTGAGGATTACATGTAGAACTGAATATTCTTTAATCAAGTTAATATGTTATTTTTTAATTTAGTAGGTGTTAATTGGGTGTTTACACATGCAAATATATTCAATTGCATTTTAATTGCTATTATACAAATCAAAATGTGTTTGTGTGCATTATAATATTTGCATAGGACATACCATATGCAAGGGGTATGCCACTTGCAATGACGTGTACAGCTCTATCATCTCCTCTTTTTTGACAGCAAGATTGTAAGCTCCAATTTATTTGATGTACCATACTATGCTACAATCTCATCTAGCACTTGCTGCTACTGTAAAATTTTACTCCCCTAGATCAAACCTTCATCCTTTGCAAAGAGCTTGAGTGCTATGCTGTAATATATATGGTATTCACAATTTTTTCTTGTTCTGAAGTAGAGATCAGCTAGACTCTAGATTGATGCCCAGGTGCATGTAATTACATAAGATCACAAGTGTGTGCTCAGTGCATCAGAAGCCCTAATCAAGTGCATTGCTAGATTGGCAAAGTTGGCAATGGACGATAGCCAATGTGTGGAAGCTCATGGCCAGCACTCTTTTGGCAGTGAATGTCTATGATGCATGATTTAGGTACACTTTCAATCCAATTGAATCTCACCACACATTTTTGCCATTCTTGCTAAACTTAAAAAGATGAAGAAGAAGATGTTGACATAGTAAATAACTTTGACATTGGAATAAGAATTCATACATGGGCATACATGCCAATATGCATTTGATCTGTACTGTCAAGCTTTTCACCATCCATCACATAGGGAGCTTTGTGATAATGAGAGTCACACACACACACACAGAGATATATATATATAAACAATTGTGTTTCTTGGGCCCAAGTAGGAGTGCAATCTGTTTTAAATTTATATATCTTGCAAGTTAATACATTTTTTTGTCAGATTGCACACACTAGATACACCTCCCCTTTTTGGAGTCCCAAAACTTATCATAAATTACTTGCTAGTGAACTCAAAGGTGTGGCTAATCAGCATAATAAGTTTTTTAATTTTTCCAAATCAAAAACTATTTTTATATGGAAATATAGTGTTATACTCAAAAAATGAAAATTTCCAAAATATTATTGTACTCCAAAACCAAATTGATATGTAAACACATCTCTTAATCTTTAAAATACTTGTAATTTAGCTTTATATAGCATCAAATAAAGTTTTATCTAAACATCCTAGGATACTATGAAGAAAAATCCTATTTTCATTAAATTGATATGGTAATGAATATTTGATTACATATGGTGCATTTTTTATTTACACATATGCAGATACAATTAGGGGCCTACCACATGCATAAACACTTCATGCCAAGTGAAGCTTGCAAATGCATGCCCAATGCATCATAAGCCCTTACCAAATTGGCACAGCTGGCAACAGACAACAGCCAATGTGTGGAGGCTCATGTCTAGGAGTCTTTTGGTGAGTAGTATTTATAATATATTGTTTAGCTACACTTCTAATCTGGTTATATTTTGTTATGCATTATGTTAAACTTCAAAGATGAAGAAAAAGATATTGATATAGTAAATAAACTGATGAGAATTAAGAATTTATATATTGGTATGTATGGCCATACAGACCAATATATATGTGCTTTGAAAAAAAAGATGCATCCAAAATATTATTTTATTGAGTCATATATATGAATTCAAGGATTAAATTCATATATCTTGTAAGCTAATACATTCTTTTGCTAAGCCACCTATCCCAAGTACACCTTTTTACCCCCCAAAGATTGCAATCACAATTTGTTTGCCATTAGCAGGAAGAGCATAAAATGCATTTGCATAAGGTTTTCTTAGTACTATGTGATAACAAAATTTTATGTGAAAAAGAGCAAATGTGAATTTGTATAAGTACAAATGAAATTAAAGGTGCAGCTATTTTAATATGTCAAATCAATATTTGCACTCAAGAAGTTTTTTAACTTCTCTAAATTGAAAATCACATTTATATTTACATTTAGACTGTAATTTAATATTATATGTTTTATAATTCTAAAAGATGCTCTATAAGAACTGCTAATCATGGTAAAGATTGTGGAACACATTGGCAAGAAATAATATGTTGTTATGGTTTTCCATGTACTTTTATGCATTTAGACGGAAATAACATTATATTATCATCCAAAATCTAGCAAGTCCCGTACAAACATGTATCTAAAGCTTGAGTTATAAGGCAGCCATTCAAACGCCAAATGCTTGACACAAGCCTTGAGACTGAGGGAGTGTTGCTCGGGGAGATTGTGACACAGCCACTGCAGCAGTCCCCTGCTGCTAACGCCAATCTCGCTAAGAAAGTCGTGGAGGATTCTCGGCAGGAGTAGTGTATTCTTGGCTCCAACACCAACACTTGCTTGTAAAAACTCCAACTTCGCAATCTGGAGCTGGGCTCTGACATGGATTGCTGTGTAAACTCGCAACTGTGTAAAACAAAAAGAACAATATTAGCGATTTAACAATAACAATAATAAACATTGACATAACATGTATGGTGGGACAACAATTATAAACAATTGACCTTACCGATGGATCAGAACGAGCTCCGGAGCAAAGTGCAAAACATACGAGGGGCTCCGGATGTGGAAGGCTGTACGTAAACGTACGTTTGATCCTCGGTTTGGGCCGCGCTAGGGGAGATATCAAAGCTTGCAGCCACTGCATGATCATCACACAAAGATTGGATCGAGTGGAGAGTTTCATTTGATTAAATGGATAGACCTCTCGAGAGTTTTGAGAATCTGATCGCCAAGCGAGAACAAACTGTGCTATAGTGTAGGCAGTCACAGAAACACTGCCAACCTTATAGGCTGCCTGCACTAAAGATCAAAGTATTCCATCACTAACCATATGTGAAGAACTCTCATCATGTTTCACAGACCTTGTGTAGAAGTGATTCTCGCTTAGATTTGCTGGTTGGGATTCCATAAGCCAAATGTGCCTGAGAGGAAGTTCCACATTCATACAAATATAACACCATAGACACTCAATCTTACATGCATCACAAGCGCATTATAGATGTTGATCCAAAACGCTAGCTTTTCGTTGCAATCCATGGATGCTACATCCACCTTGGAGAGCTGTTTGACCATCGTCCTAGAATTCCACATAAGCATATAAAAGAAACAGCTGAGAATTTGATAGCTTACTTGAATTCTTGAAGAGGCTGTGCTACGTAGCCGAGCTGCTGCTTGTCGATCGAGATCCAAGGAACCTCCACGACAAACCTGTACGCTCCACAGTCTCCCAGCTGCTTGGAGAGCTGGAATGGATTGCTCAAGAGGCCTCCAAGGTTCCGGGGGCTGGACGAACTCGACCAGGAGGAAAAGAGTGGAGAAGGCGAGCTTTGAGGCACATCTGCGAGCTTGCCAAAGATCCCAGCCATGCCACGAACGAGCGCTGCCGACAGCTCGCTGGGGCTTCCAACAAAACCACTGGAAAACCTCTCCAGCGTCAAGCTCGGGGGTGTTTCTGGCATCTCAGAGAGTTTCTACAGCAAAAAACGTTTAGAACTTACTTAAGTATCATACAAAATCCAAAGAGACAAACAAAATAATCATACCTTTCGGGCCCTTGGCTGGATTGCTCCGAGTAGATGATGCAACGGAGATGCCTAGACGAAGAACAAGACAAGAGAAGAGTTAGAAGAAACAAAAACACATTTTATTGTTACCTTGCTACTGACTGGAGAAGTCGATGATAAGAGCGAGCTCGACAATCTGTCCCTGAAACTCGACTTGAAGATTGGATCTTGAGACAAGGGAGATTTTCGCGAGTGGTGGTGGTGATCATCCTGCTGTTTCTTACGAACTACGAATTTGATCACCTTGCTCGGGGTGTCTGGGTTTTCCGGAAGATGATCGGTGGCTTTGTTGGGAACGTTTTCGATAAGGATCTTCCGGTAGAGCCAAAGAACTCGTTTTTCCAGATGGGCGACTTCGTGCTCGATCAGTGCTGTCTCAGCGATGAGGTCTCTCGCCTTGAAGCCAAAAATAAAACAAAATGGAAGATTGGTTTTCTGGCAATCTAAGTTCGTTTGGAGCAAACCTTTGTAGCGATGGTTTTACAATCGGGCGAGAGGCAGCTGGAAGCATTGACGAGAGCTTTTTCCAACGATGCCCGTGTGGCTTGCTCCTCTTGTAGCCGGATTTGGAGCAAGCAAACCTGGAGTGAGAACATTTTTGAGAACTAGAGGAAGAACTAGATACTTACATCCCGTTCCAGAGCCAGACGATGCTTCGTCCTCCAATCGAGACACCTCCAATTGCGATGATCAGTTGGAGTATACACGTCCCAGAAGGATCCATCCTCCGACCCATCGAAAGAACGCTCGTTCGAGGGAGCGCTGGACGAAACCACTCGACCATGAGAAAACCCAAAACGAAAACATTCTTACCTCTTCGATCTTTCATGCCTAGATTTGAGCGTCCTCCCAAATGGAGAGGAATCAAACGAGCTTGGAATGGAGAGGGCGTATTCCTCCTCCAAGAAACAAGGCGTGAGCATCATAACTCTGGAGCTCTTATCTCAATCCATTCACTCCAACAAGACAAAAATCTTACAGAAACAAAAAAATGAAAACCCTTTCACTTCCTCTTTAAATCTCTCCTCACCGGGCGATGGCCAAACGCCAAGATCGAGCAGTCTCTCTCGACAATCTTTGCGGAAAGAGAGACAGCGGCAGAGAATCCCCATGCGCGAGCCATAGTTTTCTTTGATCAAAGCGTTTGGAGGGACGATGGATCGTTTCAATCTATAAGCTTTCATTCAAAGCCAGCTATGGAGGGAAAGACAAAGACCCAGCAAACAAGGTGTGAAGGGTCAGTCTAGTCAGGCCAGGGATCTTAGTGGTAAAAAACACAAGAGTCAGTAAAAAATAGGAATCCCTACGCGTCCTTTTCAACGTAGCTACGTAATTACCGTGCTTGCAGGGCGCAGTCGCAGTAAATGCCTGCCCGCCCTCGAAAGCCGCGCTATCTTTTCAAATTTCAAACTTCTTAGGGCTACAAACCTAACTATTAGTTAATTATCAGAAATGGTCCCATAGTCTACTGGTTACGACATTGGACTTTGAATCCAAGAGCCGAGTTCGAATCCTGGTGCAACCTATATATACAAATTAAACTATATATATGCAAAGATTCATTTTTTAATTAAACACAGTGATGGTAAACAAAAATTAATTAAACCCTAAATTTTAATTATAAAGTTTGTAATTTCATGCTTATGAAAGCTAAAGAGATATATGGATTATTTTTAAATTATAAAATTTTATTACTTTTATTGTAACTGGTTTGTATAAAAATTTAAAATAATTCTCACTTCAATGTTTTTTAGATGCATATAATAAAAGATTAATATCAACTAATGAAAATGTAAAAAAACCTTGATTGTAAACTTGTTGTGCTTTAAGAATGCCTTTTTGTTGTGTATGTAACTAGAAGATACATTTCTTAATTAAAATATAATCTAATCTAAGTAAAATTTTCAGTTGTTATTTCTATTATAATATTTACTTTCACTTTCTTAAGTTCTTTTTCAATTTAATATTTTATGATAATTTAGTATCATAGCAACCAAGTTCCAATTTTGCACAATATGGGAAATAAATATATGGATAATTAGAAAAAAAGTGCCCTTCAGGGCAAAAAAAAAGTTAACTGCTCAAAGATTTTATAAAGAAATATAGCATAACATGATTAAGCAATTATTCTTTAGAGCTTTGAGTCAAAGATAAAGCTGGTCTTTGGCAACCAAGATTGTGCAGCTATGAAGCTACTTGGAGTGAACTTCCGGGCAAGGCGAGGCCCATTGAGAACTTTAACCCATTTCACTCGATCTCTCATGCTGGATCCAGGTCCCCAATTCTTATACTCAGCAAAATATGATGTCTGTAGACCAAAGGATCCTCCTGAAAAAGAGAAAATTGATATGAATATAGATTCAATTGATTTACCTTCCCAACTCAGCCATCCACGTGGCTGCACCATGGCCTCCATCTGAGATCTCAGCCACACGACCCGCGCAAACTCCTTCCATGGACGGCCCAGATACACCGGAAACGCACCGCCAACCCGGCACATATGAAACGAGAAGCCTGTGTTTTGGGCGGGGTCTGACCGGCCCTGAGCGCTGACCACCGTCTGTTGACCGTGGACCGGTACCTTTGACTCGAAGCTGCAGTTCTGGAAGACGGCGGCAGCATTGCCAAACACAAAGTCAACGGTGCCGGTGACGGTGCACTCGCGGTAAAACTGGCGAAAGACGTGGGCAAGGAGCGTGTCCTGGTTGCCGTGGATGGAGCAGCGGTAGAATGCCGCTTGATCGGCCCCAACCCGGAGTGCCACTGCCTGCTGGGCTTGAGGACCAGACGTGTTCTCGATGGTCAGCTCTCGAGCCATGAAGTTCTTCCCCTCGATAACTACACAAGAGAAAAAGCTCTTTAGTCAATATCAAAGTCTAGATAGACTCCGGAAGGACCCAAGAAACGAAACTATAAGATCAAAGGATTGATTGCCAAGACCAGGAAACCAACCATAAGATCAGGCAAACTCCAACTGGAATGGAACTTTCTCTTACCGACTGTGGCCGACGTTCTGGTAGTGATCCCGGGTTGCATCACATTCTTGTTCCCCGTGATGATTGTTCTCCCCTGGCCGTCGCCCACGAACATCAAATTCGTGTGGAAACTCCTCACAGTCACGTACTCCCGGTAGACTCCGGCCTTGATGTGGATCACGTACCTCCGCGCGCTCATCCGTGGGGCGGCGTTGATCGCATCCTGGATCCGCCCAAACTGCCCCGACCCGTCCTGCGCCACCACCGCGTCCACGACGTGAGCGCCGTTGACCAGGCCCCGGCCAGCGGCGACCAGCGCTGGCGGCGCTGACCCGCGCTGACCTCTCGCAGCCAGGGATGCCCGCCACGCCGCGACCATGGGGTTGACCAGCGCCAGCGCGTTGCTAATCAGCTTCTGGACCCGTTGACCGGCGGCCCGGAGGCGTTTGACCTCTGGGTCGCCGCTGACCTCGTCCAGCTCGTCCATGCATGTGTCGTGGAAGGTCAACGCCGCGCTCATCCACGTCTGGATGTCAGCAATCTCGGACTCGTATCTCCCCTGCACGAATTCCTCCAGGGAGGCCTGGAGCTCGGCGATGGCGCTTCCCAGGAGCTCGGAGCAATCGTCAAACGCGGCCTTGGCCCTGACGCTGTGGTGGTGGTGGTCATCGCTCATGAATTGGGCCGTGAGATTGAGCATCTCCTCCACGCCCTGAATCGCAGCCCTGGTCGTTTCCTCGAGGAGTTCTCTAGGCCCGGACTTGGCGATCTGGGATCTGGCCAGGGAGGAGAGACACACGTCTGGGAACCTCGTCGACTTGCAAGCGTTGCTTACGGTGAACTCCTCGCCCCTTTTTTTCTTGAGGAGGACCAGTGGGAGGGAGATTGAGAGGGAAACAATGAGGACGAATAGCAAAGAAATCGCGAGTACTACCGCTGGGCGACGGAGGAACCTCGAGCACCGACGATCATTGACAGGATTTTGGTGATCCACTCGATTGCTTTCGACGATCATGGCATTGCCAATGACGTGATCTTTACCTTCCTTCCCAGATTCTTCTTGATCATGACGAGGAGAAGAACCCACAGTGGCCATTTCTTCGATCAAAGATTTGGAGAACCCACGACGAAATTGAGTGCAGGGAAGTGAATGATCGATGCCCGAGCGAGCTCTCGAGCATCAACGAAGCTGGGATTGGAACTTCTCTCAAGCTTTATAGCAAAGCTTAACTACAACCATATTTCTTTACTGCATTCCAAGCCAAGTAAAACGGTGACAAGCAAAAGAAAGTAGGCAAACTATACAGTTTGATGAACGCAATCTTTGCTTGACTTCAGGAATATTCATTGTACCGTTGGATAATATAAGCTTATACTACGAATATTGGTCAATCCAGCTTCTCGGGATGAATTCGGTGTTGGTGACGTAGCTGGCGACTATAGCAGGTCTGATCGTCTCTAGCATTTCGTTTCTCTCTCGGTTGAGGTTTGTTTCGAGCAGGGACACAGCTATCACCATCGCTACCACTCCGCCCACAGTCCATTGCGTACGCCCCCGCACCGGGAGAGGCAGCAGGAGATTTAAGGCAAAGCGTCCTTTATCAACATGCCCGTCTTCGAAGGCACGTATTGTCATTTTTGGAATTCTTCTAGTCTTATGTGATTTTGCTTTTACTCAGACTACTGCTTCCCGATTAGAACCACTATTAATATCATTGTTTTTTCATGTTTTGTTCTTTTATTTCACAGGTGGAGTTGCTTAGCATGTAAATTTGAACCGATCCAACCAAATGAACGATCTTCAATCCACTGGGAGCTCTCGCTAGCAACTAACGAGCTATGTGATGGCCTCTGGAGCAAACTACGTAAGATCCATTTTCTAATCAAGTTACGAGGACAAACTTACCAGGAATCCTTGCGAACGTACAAGAAGATCCCAAGCACGAGTTTTTCTAGCGTGCTCTAGATATCATTGTTTCTTGTTTCTAGGATCAAAGTCGGATCTCGGACCTTTCGAAGATGTTAAATTTTTTGTATAGATGAAACATTATAGATTTCAACATTAAATCATCGTTTTCACAGCTAAATCAAAGAAAATGATATGAAAAAAAACTATCACGATTCTGGACTATTCTGCTGCTGTGCTCGATCAAACTTGTCACTGCTCTTTAGCTGCTTCCTCTTTGCTTTTTGAAGCTGCTGCCCCTGCTCCACTGGGCGAACTTAAAACTCAAGCTGCTGCCCCTGCTTGGTTTAAGAAATTTTTAGTCTTTAAGCTGCTCAATCTTTGCTGCTCGATCTTAGCTGTTTCAGCCTGCTCTCTTTGTCTCCAAGTTTAAAATCAACTTATGATTTTCCATTCCCACTTGCTCGATTCTTATGATCTCTGACGCTGGTTTTATCTTTCGCTGCTTCAAGTCCTGCTCCACCCTCATTTACATATTCTTCTGGCGGCCAGTTGGCAGTCAGACTATTTTCCAAATAGAAAATAAACATAATCTCTCAAGGTTATTTACTCACAAGTTGGCCAGAATAAGCAGCTGCTTGCGTAGTCTCTGAGATGTTTTATTTATTTAGTCTCGAAGAGACGGCCTCCTACGATCTGGACTAAGTAGGAGCTCAGAAGATTTATTACCACAGCAGAAAAACAAAAAAATACCGTAGAATTTGTTGCTAATATGAATGGAGCTACCATCCACAAAGTGTGTGTCGCTTATAGTCTGCTTCTCCTGTTTAACAACACGGATGAAATAAATGGAAGAGGAAAAAGATAATGACTCTACGTACCCTCGGTCCAGATTGCTCGATTGTAAAGGTGGCCATTGAACCTCTGAATCGCCAGGTAATCTTTGCACCAGCTTCCACGTTCCATGAAACTCGTCCGATCTTTTGTCTTTATGACTGTTGCTTCGTCTTAGAGTTCGCTCCAGCTCCTGTAGTCTCCGCATGTCAGAGGCGAACATCAGCCACTTTTCAGTCTTTGAGAATCCGAAGCTCTGGCTCCACCGCCACAAGCAGCTTCTTCGAGTTCGAGATCATCTCGCCATCATCATCTTCTTGAGTAATCGTTCCTGGCTGATATACTATCATCCAAGCACCTGTAAGAGCGATCCTGGACAGCGTTGATTCCGTCAACTAGAGAGCTTTGTCTTGATCCATATCAGCATCTCATCTTTTGCTTCATCTCGCATGTCTCACGACGAAATTTGATGGACTCTGCTCCACTTCCAGAGCCCGGCTGGCCGACTGCTCCGAAACACGGTCGTCCACCGTCACTTTGGACTGCTTGAGCTGCTTCATCTGGGCCACCGTCTTGTACAGCTCCGAAACTTTGGAGTCGAGGGAGGATATCTCCTCGAAAAGGTTGATCTTCTGTTGACTTAGAAGAGTGTGGAGGCTGGTTTCTGGCGCTTTGGAGGTCTGCTACTGCTTTCCTGTGTTGCTGGAGATTTCAATACACTTGGAGCTCTGTTCTGGATTTGACTCACGAGAGCTGGCTTCTCCAATGCTAGAGTTCGAGTACTGGCCCCGACGTGACCAATCCTTGCAGCCGACTACTCGATCTTCCAATTCTCGTTTCTTCGACGTCTCTGACAAATGCTTCTGCCACTTCAGGGCTTGATCGTGCTCAGAAGCTCGAGTAGGAGCACGCAAAAACAGAGCTTGAGGAGTGGCTTGCTCTTGTCGCATGTAGCGTCCATTTGATCCGTCAAACCTCTAGAGCTCGGTGCTCCATGGCAACCAACCTGTCCAACTGTGCTCTCTGATCCCTCGGCTTGTCTTCCGCCTCAGCCTTCATCCTTCGTCAATGCTTCGTTCAGTTTCCTCAATGCTTTGCAGCCGGCACGTCTCTCTCTCCTCGAGCGCCTCGAGCCCCGTGATCCTCTCCATCAGCTGCCAGTTACTTGCTTCTCCAGCCTCGCCTTTGCGCTTCCAAACTCCGGCATCCTCTTCTCGACGTGTTCCTCACCGAGAGCTCCACCTCGTGAAGTGGGTTCGACTCCGTCAGCCCTGGGGCTCCTGTCCGAACACTACCTCATTCCACCAGATGACAGAGAACGTTTAGCGTAGTCTGTCTTATAGTCTCCGCAGCCATCCGAAACCCCAGTCGCGAGCAGCTTCAGCTATATTGTCGTCTCGCCATCTTGCAGCCATCTGGCACTGGTTTACGTCGTTCCTCGCTACTATCATGGACAGCCTTACCGCAGCAGGCGCTCCTGAATCATCTCCGTCCACTGGAAAGCCGATAAGATAGATCCCTCCTTGCTCCAGACACTGTAGAGTGTAGCCCAATTTGATCCATTGATCTTCTCTTGACTTAGAAGAGTGTGGAGGCGGGTCTCTGGCCTGTTTAGACGCCCGAAGTGTGATGGACTCTGCTGCACTTCCAGACGACTGCTCCGCCTGGAGCCTCGTCAACCACCGGTTTCGACTCTCCATCTCGGCCACCATCTGGAACAACTCCGAAACTTTCAATTCCAGTCGTTGATCTTCTCTCGACTTAGAGTGTGGAGACTGGTCTCTAGCTCAGACTTGACGCTTTAGTGACCTGCTACTGTGGTTCTCGACTTCCTTGGATACAGCTCCGAGTTTTCCCGCTCCAACTTTTGGATTTGATTTCCCTTGAAGCAATCTGACACTGAGTTCTTTGCTGATACTTTCATCCAAGCAGCTGTACGAGCATTCCTGGACAGCCCTGACCCGTTTTCAAAGTCTCCGTCAACTAGAGAGCTCTACCAGATGACAGAGAACGTCGAGTGTAGTCTGTCTTATAGTCTCTGCAGCCCTCTCTGTGAATCCGAATACCCCCACCATCACGAGCAGCTTCAGCTATATCATATTCTCGCTATCACCATCTCGTTGCAGTCGTTCCCTTGCTACTATTCCTTCAAGCTGTGAACATTATACCGCAGCAGTATCTCCTGTCTCATCTCCGTCGACTGGAAAGCTGATAAGATAGATCCCTCCTTGCTCCAGACACTGTAGAGTGTAGTCAAACTTGATCCATTGATCTTCTCTTGACTTAGAAGAGTGTGGAGGCTGGTCGCTGGCCTGTTTAGACGCCTGAAGTGTGATGGACTTCTCCGCCTGGAGCCCTGAGACACGGTTGTCACGCACTGCTTTCACGTCTTGGACAGTTGCAAATCTTTGGAGTCGAGTCTTCGAGAAGGTCGATCTTCTCTCGACTTAACTGGTCTATAGCTTTAGTGGCCTCCTCCTGTGCTGCTCAACTTGCTTGGAGATCCAACTTCTGGATTTGACTCTTGAGAGTTGGCTTCTCCGATGCTAGAGTCCGAGCACTGGCCTCCAGTTGACCAATCCTTGCAGCCAACTTCTCGAGCTCGGAGCCAACTTCATTTCTCGTTTCTTCGACGTGCTTAGAACAGTTTGCTCGTGTTCTCTTCTCAGGTAAACCCAGGGTCTAGTCGTCTTAGAGTTCGCTCCAGCCCGGCCGATCATCTTCTCGCCATCATGGTTCCGACAAAACAAACACTCATCGTTCACTTCAGCTCTCTACAACAAACACGGAAGTTATTAGCAAACGGCCATCTGGAATCTGGAAGGTATATCAAACTTACCTGTCTCCTCTTGAATTCGGCAACAAAATCTCTCCCCGCACGATCATATAGTTCTTTTGCCTCCTTCACGAAGACCACCTCGCCGGACTGAAGCTTCTTCCACGGTTTCCTCTCACTCGGGATCCTATCCAGCATTTTCTGGAGCCTCATCATCTTCCGCGCTCGCTTGATCCTCTCTCGGTCGCTGGATTTGCCGTTGAGCTCCTCGTAAAGCTGCTCGGTGAGTCTGATCAGAATCCGGAGCGCGCTAACACTCCAAGACTTTTCCTCGTGCTTCTCCTCTTCTGTTTCCTCGCGCTTTTCCTCTTCCAAGCTGCGGATCTTCTTCTCGGTTTTTCCCCTCTGGTTTAGCCACCGGTTTGCCTTGTGGAAAGCTTCGAGATACGCGAACTCAACATAGCCCCCTCGGCCATCGCTAAGATGGGTTTCACTCCGCCGTCGGGTGCCGTCGGGAAGAATGTCCTCCGCTGAGGAAGAGAAGCGAACCATCTTCGGCCTGGAACCTGCAAGTCCAGAAGGCCATCGTGAGTCACAGTAGAAGAAGAATGCGAGAAGCAAAAGGAACCATACCTGGACGACGAC